CTTGAATTTTGTTGTGGGGTTTATGAAAGTTTATTTTTGAAAGAGAGAGAAAGAGAGACATGGCCTTTAAGGAGGTTAATGGTTTAACTCTTTTCTGGCAACAAGCCTTTGGTAGATTACCTGTTGAATGTTGGTTTTTTGTTACTTTTGTTTAGTTTCTTTTCGTTATGAATTGATTTGGAAAATATATATATTAACTTATTTAGCTTAAGTATATAAAAGGAATTTTCTAGTAATGCTGCTTAAATGCTAGCTTTTTTCTAGCTAAAATTATTATTTGCATTCCTGCGGCCAAAATATCATAACTAAGGTTAATTTATGTTAAGCGTGCTATTTGTATTAAATGAATATAAATTATATTTTAAATATACTCCAGACAAGTTCTTTAAGAGACTAATAGCCTTAATTATTTCTTACACGCTTAACAATTGTACTATAAGTAACTTAAATGGCTATGAACTTTGGCACACTTAAGGTCATTAGAAAAATATTTGAACTCTGCTGTATTTCTTAATGAGGATTAATTGAAATAGCGTTCTCTTACTAATTTTTTATATTTAAAATAAATTTTAACATTCTCGATAAATGATAACATATGAATTCATCTAGAACTGAACAAGAACTGAAGTAGAACTATAGTAGAACTGAACTAGAACTAGAACAGAACTAGAACTAGAATAGAACTAGAACAGAACTAGAACAGAACTAGAACAGAACTAGAACAGAACTAGAACAGAACTAGAACAGAACTAGAACAGAACTAGAACAGAACTAGAACAGAACTAGAACAGAACTAGAACAGAACTAGAACAGAACTAGAACAGAACTAGAACTAGAACAGAACTAGAACAGAACTAGAACAGAACTAGAACAGAACTAGAACAGAACTAGAACAGAACTAGAACAGAACTAGAACAGAACTAGAACAGAACTAGAACAGAACTAGAACAGAACTAGAACAGAACTAGAACAGAACTAGAGCAGAACTAGAACAGGACTAGAACAGGACTAAAACAGAACTAGAACAGAACTAGAACAGAACTAGAACAGAACTAGAACAGAACTAGAACAGAACTAGAACAGAACTAGAACAGAACTGGAACAGAACTAGAACAGAACTAGAACAGAACTAGAACAGAACTAGAACAGAACTGGAACTGAACTGGAACTGAACTAGAACAGAACTAGAACAGAACTAGAACAGAACTAAAACAGAACTAGAACAGAACTAGAACAGAACTAGAACAGAACTTGAACAGAACTTGAACAGAACTAGAACAGAACTAGAACAGAACTAGAACAGAACTAGAACAGAACTTGAACAGAACTAGAACAGAACTAGAACAGAACTAGAACTGAACTAGAACAGAACTAGAACTGAGCTAGAACTGAACTAGAACTGAACTAGAACTGAAATAGAACTGAACTAGAACTGAACTAGAACTGAACTAGAACTGAACTAGAACTGAACTAGAACTGAACTAGAACTGAACTAGAACTGAACTAGAACTGAACTAGAACTGAACTAGAACTGAACTAGAACCGAACTAGAACTAAACTAGAATTGAACTAGAACTGAACTAGAACTGAACTAGAACTAGAACTGAACTAGAACTGAACTAGAACTGAACTAGAACTGAACTAGAACTGAACAAGAACTGAACTAGAACTGAACTAGAACTGAACTAGAACTGAACTAGAACTGAACTAGAACTGAACTAGAACTGAACTAGAACTGAACTAGAACTGAACTAGGACTGCACTAGAACTGAACTAGAACTGAACTAGAACTGAACTAGAACTGAACTAGAACTGAACTAGAACTGAACTAGAACTGAACTAGAACTGAACTAGAACTGAACTAGAACTGAACTAGAACTGAACTAGAACTGAACTAGAACTGAACTAGAACTGAACTAGAACTGAACTAGAACTGAACTAGAACTGAACTAGAACTGAACTAGAACTGAACTAGAACTGAACTAGAACTGAACTAGAACTGAACTAGAACTGAACTAGAACTGAACTAGAACTGAACTAGAACTGAACTAGAACTGAACTAGAACTGAACTAGAACTGAACTAGAACTGAACTAGAACAGAACTAGAACTAGAACTAGAACTGAACTAGAACTGAACAGAACTGAACTAGAACTGAACTAGAACTGAACTAGAACTGAACTAGAACTGAACTAGAACTGAACTAGAACTGAACTAGAACTGAACTAGAACTGAACTAGAACTGAACTAGAACTGAACTAGAACTGAACTAGAACTGAACTAGAACTGAACTAGAACTGAACTAGAACTGAACTAGAACTGAACTAGAACTGAACTAGAACTGAACTAGAACTGAACTAGAACTGAACTAGAACTGAACTAGAACTGAACTAGAACTGAACTAGAACTGAACTAGAACTGAACTAGAACTGAACTAGAACTGAACTAGAACTGAACTAGAACTGAACTAGAACTGAACTAGAACTGAACTAGAACTGAACTAGAACTGAACTAGAACTGAACTAGAACTGAACTAGAACTGAACTAGAACTGAATTAGAACTTAACTAGGATCGAAAATAACCACATCAAACTAAAATTGTTTTGATTTTTAGTTTTAAATTTAAACTATTTTATTTTAAAGCAAATCATTAATTAAAACACAATTCATCTTTCTTTTCAGGTATTTTAATGACAACAATTTCCATAATAAAATCTGTCTGTGTGGTAAATTATTTCAAACGTTTATTTGTAAACTAAATTTCCATAACAAAAACTCAAGTCACTCAAGTGCAACTTTACACAAAAACACACTGAACCAGGTCTCTGTAGGTGGTAGTAAGTATTTTACACAAATATTTATGTGTTTTTTTTTTCACTTTTTTTGCATAAAATATTCAATTTAACAATCAAAAACAAAGTCGTCCTGGTGGAGTTTTTGCATTTTAAATGTGTACATGGCTGTGTATGAGTGTGTGCGTATGTATATGTTGAGTTTTTCATGTAGAACTTTACAGAAAATATTCGTGTATTTTTTAACAATCTATAAATTTCAAACATACCCCGGGTATGTTTAACTTTATTGAAAGCAACATGCAACAATTTAGTTTGAAAACTTGAACACATACCAACACATATATACATATAACAAAAACGCAATAAATTTTCATTAAAACTAATCATGCAGAGAAAATGTTTGCGAGAGAGTGTGTGTGTGTAACGCAGCACAGACCCGCATGAAACTTTGTTTAGTTTAATATTTATTTGTTTGCAGTGTTGTCCAATCAACAATTAAGTCAGAGAAAGATGGAAACAATCGAGGTTGTGGCAAATAAAGCTGACAACCCAGTAATTGTTGTTAAAAACGTTTTAATTTAGATACTTTTTAATATTAAAAACAAATTGTTATATGGGATTTCAGTAATTCTGTTAGATTTCTTTATCTTTCATAATTTTTTATAGTATATACTTCTGTTTGCGGGAAATTGTCGGCCTTAAAATATTTGTTTGCTGGCCTTATTTTTATGTCTTTCCATTTTCTAAATCCATTTATATGTATTGGCTTATTGACTTTAAAGCAATTCGAAATTGATTTTTCTACATACTGTTTTTATTTCTTTATCATGGCATTATTTTTACCACTCATTCACTCGCACATTTGCAATTATCAATGAGTTTCTGTTTTTTTTCCATTCTCAAATGGACCACAAAATCATGTGGCAAATAAAGTCATGATAGAGTAATACAGCTCAGCGGGGTATTGAAAGGCTAGAAATCATTTCTCCACCATAAACGAGGGATAAATAGGAAGTTTTAAAAATGTGAATTGAACTAGAATTGAACTAGAACTGAACACGAACTGAACTAGACTGAACTAGAACTGAACTAGAACTAGAACTTGATCTAGAACTGAACTAGAACTGAACTAGAACTGAAACTAGAACTGAATTAGAACTGAACTAGAACTAGAACTTATCGAGAACTGAAATAGAATGAACTAGTAACTGAACTATAACTAACTAGAACTGAACTAGAACTTAACTAGAACTGAACTAGAACTGAACTAGACTGAACTAACTGACTATAACTGAACAGAACTGAACTAGAACTGAACTATAACTGAACTGAACTGAAGTTTTTTTTTCTAAACGAACTAGAACGGAACTAGAACGAACTAGAACTGAACTAGAACTGAACTAGAACTGACTCGAACTGAACTAGAACTGAACTAGAACTGACTAGACACTGAACTAGAACTGACTAGAACTGAACTATAACTGGAACTGAACTAGAAACTAGAAACTGACTGAACTAACTGAACTGAAACTAGAACTGAACTAGAACTGAACTAGAACTGAACTAGAACTGAACTAGAACTGAACTAGAACTGAACTAGAACTGAACTAGAACTGAAAACTGAACGAACTAGACAATATAGAACTGAAACAACTGAACTGAACTGAACTAGAACTGAACAGAATGAACTAGAACTGAACTAGACTGAACTAGAACTGAGATTAGAACTGACTATGACAATGAACTGTATAATGAACTGATGAACGAACTAGAACTGAACTATAATGAACTAGAATGAACTAAACCTACTGAACTAGATTTTAACGAACTATATCGAAAACATAGGAAACTAGAACTGACAGAACTGAACTAGAACTGCACTAGAACTGAACTAGAACTGCTAGAACCTAGAACTCAACTAGAACTGAACTAGAACTGAACTAGAACTGAACTAGAACCTGAACTAGAACTGAACTGTATGCTAGAACTGTATTAGAACTAAACTATAATCGAACTATAATCGAACTAGAACTGGACTAAAACTGAACTAGAACTCAACTAGAACTAAACTAAAACCATAATTTTTAAATGCCCCTCGCACTTCTTATTTATAATGCTATTTAAGTGAATTTATATTTTTTATATCGTAAAGTAAAATGTTTAATGCATTTAATGGTTTCTAAGCCATTTGCTAAAGTACACTTACCTTTTGCTGTCCGTAGATGTTAGTTAGATATTTTACTTTGGATTTTGTGGTCACGATTAGCAACATATTGACCAAATTGTTGCAAACTGTAAAGAAAATAAGGGTAAAGTTTATTTTTAAATAGAGTAGTTGTATTTTATAGTAAAAGTTTTCTTTTATGAATGAGACGAAAATACATAATTGTTAAAATGGTTTGGTGAAGAGTTACAGCAAACTTATTCTAAGTTTTTTATACAAAAATATTTTTTGTGTTATTAAAAAGGCTTAGAAGTAGCAGTAGAAAGTTAACAATAAAGAGATTTTGTGGATCATGACTAAGACATAGTACTGATAGCATTTGTGTCAGTAAACTGTTTGTGATTGCTATATAGTCAAGTTAAGTATATCCTATGTTTTTACAAAAATATAATTGTTTTAGTGCAATTAAAATTTATATTATATACATTTAAGATTTTCCATTTATCTGCCATTTTCTTTTTAAATTTAATATATTAAATTTTGCATAAATCTACTTTAGGTCCTTGCTTGTCTCCTTCAGCCTTTGTTCTTTTGCTCCCTTTTTATTTATATAAATAAAAACACTATGAATATAAGCTGGTAACTGTCTATCTGTATCTTCATCTAACATCTTCTTTAAAAACATTTCATTGTTCTGAATATCTGTATATTATTTATATAATTTTTTTGTTTTTCTTATTGTTGTTGTTTTTGTTGCTGTTCACAGGATTTCTTTATGGTAATTTCTTGTTTTTTTGTTTATTCTTGAGGATTTTTCATTTTACATTTGTATGAATTTTTAATAAAACAAAAAAACCAAAAAAACTAACAAACAAACAAATAAAAGTCAAAATCATACACAAGCTGCACAGAAATTAACTTAATGGTTTGTGGAAAGTAAAAATGTTTAAAAGGAGAAGGTGTTGTAGTATTATACCTGGGACAATAATATGCATAGCCACCCACACATATAGAAATGTGTTTTTTTCTTTTTGCACAACATTTGAATATGAATTTAAAAGTACTTAAATATGTATTTTTTTATATCATACTCTTAAGAACAGGATAAGATGTAAGCAGACTAATGCAAATGAAATTGGTCTGTACTAACAGTAGAAAAAAATCTGAAGACTAAAAAGGAATTTTTAGAAAAAAATATGAAAATTCTGAGGTTTCTACACATACACACACATATTTATTAAAGTATTTGTGGGCTTTTTTATATAGTTTTAAATGCCTTGTTGTATTCTCCTATTTTAGTTGTGTTTTTCTAACTAATGTTGGTCTATAAAACTAAAAAGTCATTTTATATATATTTCAAAAAATTTGCATATGTGTGTATAAGGAATACATTTTATATTATAAACACTTTTCCCAATTGGTTTTCTTTATTTATTGGATGTTAAGGTTATTTTATTTCTTTATGATATTAAAGTTTTTGGTTCATTTTACTATAAAATTTTAACTAAAGTTAACTTAGATGAACAATGAACAGAATTAGAACAGAACTAGAACAGAACTAGAACAGATCTAGAACAGAACTAAAACAGAACTAGAACAGAACTAGAACAGAACTAGAACAGAACTAGAACAGAACTAGAACAGAACTAGAACAGAACTAGAACAGAACTAGAACAGAACTAGAACAGAACTAGAACAGAACTAGAACAGAACTAGAACAGAACTAGAACAGAACTAGAACAGAACTAGAACTGAACTGGAACTGAACTGGAACTGAACTAGAACTGAACTAGAACTGAACTAGAACTGAACTAGAACTGAACTAGAACTGAACTAGAACAGAACTAGAACAGAACTAGAACAGAACTAGAACAGAACTAGAACAGAACTAGAACAGAACTAGAACAGAACTAGAACAGAACTAGAACAGAACTAGAACAGAACTAGAACAGAACTAGAACAGAACTAGAACAGAACTAGAACAGAACTAGAACAGAACTAGAACAGAACTAGAACAGAACTAGAACAGAACTAGAACAGAACTAGAACAGAACTAGAACAGAACTAGAACAGAACTAGAACAGAACTAGAACAGAACTAGAACAGAACTAGAACAGAACTAGAACAGAACTAGAACAGAACTAGAACAGAACTAGAACAGAGCTAGAACTGAAATAGAACCGGAACAGAACCAGAACAGAACTGAAACATAACTAGAACCTAACTAAAACAGAACTAGAACATAACTAGATCATAACTAAAACCGAAGTAGAACTGAAATTCTTACAAACACTTATTATATAATTTTAAAACTTCTTGTTTCAGTTGCCAACTACAATTCCATTTCTGTATTCCCATAGCTTTTGTTTTAATGACAAAGACTAATAAAAAAAAAAAAGATTACCTTAGGGTTGTTTATTTACAATTCCATAAGTTGTTTGTTTTCTATTGCATTTAAATCTTTTCCATTAAGGTTTCTTTCTACGTAAATTAAATTGCACTTTAAATTTTAAGATTTTTTATCTATTTAAAACAATTGAAAAGTAATTTTTCTAATTTAATTTTTGTTAATAAGCTTTATTTCTTTTATGGACTATTGTTATTTACTATACTTTTGCTGCTGCTACTACAAATAACAATAAAAACAAACACAACATACACACAAATACCAACAAACACTTAAAAAAGAGAACCAAAAAAAAGGTCGACATCCTTTTTCATACACATTTAATTTTGTGCTTACACACACACACACACACACACACTTACTCTAATGCTTTTTAGTTCTACCTCTCGCTCTTCCCCTCTCAATATATTTGCAGTTTATTGCAAACAAATAACAATCCTTTGTTGTATTAAAAAAAAGCACACATTTAACTACATACACACACAAAAAAGTTTTTCCCACACTTACACATACATTCATACATACATAAGTGTGTATAAGAGTGGCTCTATCGATCTACTTTATTGGAAAGTGAATAAACTTTAAGGACAGTTTGTTGGATTTTTTTTAAAATTTTTTTTTGCTGCGTTATAACAAAAATACATTCCTTTTTATTTTTATCTTATAAAATAATCAATAATATATCATGAGCAAAGGGTTAACTACCACTTTTTTCATTTCACTTTTTTGTATTTGATTTTTTTCTTTTTATATTTTTTTTAACAACAAAAATTTAATTGTATCTCTCTGGCATCATACATCCGACAATGATAGAAAGTGTGAGAAAAATATACGAAAAAAAAAATTAATGAAAATTTTGTGCAAACACTTATATGTATGTAAATAAAAAAAATCGTTGTCAGATGGAAAAAAATGGACTTTAATTAAAAACGTTAAATTGAACTTGTTAAAATATTTATTTATGAAATTTAAAAAGCAATTTCAACAGATTCCTTAGCATTTACAATCAGTTAAAGTATGATGACTGTATGTGTGTGTGAGAGTGTATGCCTGGAGAGGTTGTTGTCTATGATGTTGAAGTAAATAAATTAAAATCACCGAATGTGAGAGATATTTAAAGATAAGAAAATTAAAATGATTTTTAATTTATATTAAAATTTATAAAAAGGCAAAAAAGTAATTACTTATGATGGAGCGGTTTTGCAAGAAACACATCAAAAGAATTGTTTCTGTTACTGAATTTTCTTCTGAATTTGGAGAATATATTGACAATATATTTCGAGAATATTTATCATTATGTCAGGTAGATTGACATGGAAAATCTATTAAAACTGTTCAATAGAAGATACTCGAAAAAAATATGAGAATATTCTTGGAATATTTGTAAATTTTTATTATTTAATAAAAATTTTAACAAGTTATTAGTTTTAAACTACATATGTTAATAATAGAGACAAATATTAATAATTATTATTTTATTTAAATTTTATACATCACTAAGTTTGTCACACAAAAACTGAGATTATGTTTTTATTTAATATTTTATAATTAAAAACCGCCCACCTACATATTTACTTTTTTTATAAAATGAATTGTTTTCTATTTGAAAAAATTCTTTATTCATGACACTAATAAATATTCATTAATTTTCCATTTTTTTGTTGATATTATTTAACCAATCAGCTTAACTATAACTAAGCTGCTTTTAATTTATTATCCTGTTAATGCCCATTTTTTATAACTCAATTATTTAATACTACTATGAAAAAAAAAAGAAATGTTGATGTTTTAATTAAATTAATTTCAACCGCCCGTGGATGTCACCTCACACCTTTTACACACACCTGCGGTTTAAATTGCACTTGGCATACTCATTTATAAAGAGCAAATGTTTCCATACTGTTCTAGAGATCTGCGAGCAATCGTCATTAAAGCGTTGAAAGATTTTCTACATTTGTGATTTTATAATCGTATGTACATGTCATAGCATCTCGAGGGCTTTGTGCAGACCCAATAGACAGAGTATATTTCAGTTAAGGACAACTGCAATATCATTTTGAAAAATAGTAATAGAATGTTAGCAAAACGCAGAGCATAAGTATAATATATTACATGTCGATTACAGCTAAAATACTTTTAAATGCATGTTAGTGCATGTAAGTGATTGCTGTTATTTGTATGTATGAATGTGTGTGTGTTTTCAGATGAGATGACACCAAAGATATTTTACTAAACAGCAATACACCCAAGCAAGCTATAGATTTAAAACAAATATAAATGTAGTATGCAGTGACATTTCATTAGAGATTTAATAGACAGCAAACTGATTGTGACAAACACACACATACACACGCCCACTAATACAAACCTTAAATATGCCCTGCAGTCCATAGGTTACAACCACGAGAACTAGAACAGAAGTAGAACAGAACTAGAGCAGAACTAGAACTGCTGGGTATACACACACAGCATTACTATTAATTATTTGCACATATGACAGATTTATATTAGGGTGTATGGGTTCTTATGTAAAAAAATTCGCTTTAGAGGAAAGTGAACTTAGTGACTTAGAACCAGAGACATAACTGTTGTCTTGGTTTTTTAAATTGTTTCAAATTATCTGTATAATTAAGGTTTACGATAATATTGGCTTACGTTTTCTGTAGCCACCCTAATATACTAATATGTATTGTGAAAACTTAAGAAAGGGAGAGAGTGTAT